CACACACACACACACACACACAAATAAATAAAATTTAAAAAAAAATAAATAAATAAAATAAATAAATAAAGCTGCATGTAAAAGGGGTGGGGCTCAGCAACTAGGAAGGCAGTAAGATATGTGCACATATGACTCACCAACACTCTGTCTCCGATTTTGAGCTCACGTTCTCCTTTCTTGATGGAGCCAGCCTCTGAAAGGTTGGAGATTGACTCACTGGTGGTTTTCGTAAGGTTGCTGATCTGAGGTGTGGCTGCAGGTTCCTTGGCTGTCGACTGGGAAGACTTATGGGGAACATGTGAAGGGGCAGTGAGGGACGAGCCTGCTGCGCTGGCTGCAGAAGTGGACAGAGGTGAAGCAGCTCTGGATGCATGAGCGGTCTGTAGGCCATTGGCTTCATCTTCTGTTTGTACCTTCCGGGTTAACTTCGAAGGCCGGGTAAATATGCCCTTTAAAGGTTCACACTGAAAATATCGTACTCCTGCCACCGAACCGTCATTCTTGCCTATGGGTTCATCTAAAACGATCCCAGCCCACTGGCCTGGTGCAAACTGTGTTTCCCCAAGGAACTGGATATATCCAGGCTTATTTCCATTCACCCAGACACGTTCCCCAACTCGAAAGTCATCAACAAATTCCTCTTGAGTCTCAGAGGATGGAGTGCTTGAGGCTTTCTCACTAGATACTGTTTTTTCTACTGAAGATGAGGCTGAAAACAAGATCAGAAAGGTTAATGTCATATTCAAGTAGTCAACCTCTAACTCTAAAGGACAAAAACAAAACAAAACAAAAACCCTAGAAAAGCAGCAGCAAAACTAATCTATAACTCTGGCAAGTTTGTTTTTTTTTTTTTTTTTTTTCTTAAGGCAAAGAGGCAAATTACTTGATCCACTACTACCATTTCCAGTACAGCCAAAACTCAATGAGCTGAGGTGAGGTGAGCTCTGGGTAAAGTGGTGAGGTTCATTCTATTTGCAGGAAAGAGCAGAAGATCTAGCTGGAAGTGGTGACTCATGCCTGTAATCCCAGCACTTGGGAGGATGAGACAGGAGGATTGATGGGAGTTCAAGGCCAGTATCTGGAACTACATGCATGTGCCACTGCATCTAGAAAAGTTGTCTTTGTTTCCTTATTTTTTCAGACATGGTCTTACTGTGTAGTGTAGGCCAGCCTTGCAGTCACTTATGGAACTCATGGCAATCTCCTGCCTCGGCTACCTGAGCGCTGGGATTACAAGCATGTGCCACCACACCCAGCCTATTTTTATTTTGAGATGCTAGGGCCTAAACCCAAGAGCTTGCACATGTTCAGGCAAGCAATCTACTACTAAACTACTACAGGCCCAAATTATACCTTAAAAAAAAAAGGGTTTCTGTTTTTTTGGTTTGGTTTTTTTTTTTTTTTTTTTTTGACAGGTTCTTACTAGCTGGCTTTGAATTTGTGCTCCTCCAGCATCAACCACCTGAGTGCTGGGGTTACAGGTGTGCTACACTATACTCAGCTAGTTTCTGTTTTTCTTTTTGAAACAGGGTCTCACTTCACAGTACAGGCTGAACTTGAACTCACTATGTAGTTCAGGCTGGCCTCAAACTCCCAGCAATCTTCCTGCCTCAGCCTTCCAAGTGCTAGAATTACATACAGGCTTGCACCACCATGCCTAGCTTTAATTTCTGCCTTTCAAGCCAAATTTATTTCAAATGTTTTCAAGACTATAAATGATTATAAGGTTACCTTTAAAAATTTTTTCCTTTAAAGTGAATTAAAAAAAAAATTAGAAACAATGCAGCATTTCAAAAACAAGATGACAAATTCAGCAATGGTTGTTACATTGCATGTTGTTGTCTTCAAAGTAGTTGTTCAGATTACCAGATATAAACATGTAAAATTGGTTAAATAAATTAAGCATTAATAAGTCAACAGAAATTTGTAGTACAATTATCTTAACTGTCTATATATTATATATGTATGTATCTTTTTTCCCTTCTTTCTTTTCTCCTTTCCCTCATTCCAGTTGTTCTTTCCTTTTGAGCAGTTTCTTTCCTTTTCACAACATCTTTTATAACTTTCATATTTTACTTACTCGTTCAGGTACTTACTCTAGGGAAACAATACAATATTTACATATATGAGTCTAATTTACTTCACTTATGAGTATGGTTTCCATTGACCTATAAAAGCCTCAACTTAATCTTTCTTTAAAGCTAAGTAGGGGCTGGCGAGATGGCTCAGTGGTCTGAAGCACCTACTTGGAACAAGCTTGGCAAAGCACAGAGACTGCGGTTCGATCCCCCAGC